GAATTTGAGAATAAAATTTTAAAACATGATTTTTTTAAAAAAAGAAATTGATATAATATATTTCATGGATTCTTAGAATTTATACATGATAATTATATATATGTGAATATGTAATTATTTTATTCTAAAAGGTTAAAAGTGTATTTCAAATAATTTATCTCGGTTCACTAGATATGTTCAAGAAGTATAAAAAAATTATTGAATCATTGATTTTATTAAAAATTAACTATACATCTTCTAACATCATACAAATTATTTACTATAAATATTTTTTAATATTATGGACCAATTTATTTAGAATGAAATAATTAAAATAATTTTTTAAATGAACCAACCAATTATTCAAATACTCGTTTTTATCATCCACGAACATTTTAATCCGATTGTACCCTAAAAATCTATGCATAAACAAATAGGTGACATTCTTGGTAGCATTATCGACTAGGACAACAATGTATGATAATGGAAAGTCATCTTTCGGACTCGCTTTGTTCAAATCTTAATAATCAACACACATTCAAATCTTACCATCCTTCTTACCCACTACTACTATGTTTAACGCCCACTGAGGGTATTCAACCACTTTCGGGAATCTTGCATCGCACTACTTCTTAATCTCTTCTTTCACTTTAAGTAAGACATATTGCCTCGTCCTTCTCAACTTATGCTTCATCGGTTTACACTTAGGATTTAAAGGCAATCTATGTTCTACAATCTTTGTGTCTACCACTAGCATCTCGGTATACGACCAAGCAAATACATTAGAGTATTCTTTCAAGAGGAAAATCAAGCTTTCCATTTCGGTATTCTCCATCAAGGTTCCACCTTTACCTCTTGTTTGTTCTCATTAGTCCCCACATTTATCACTTCTAGTTCTTCTGGTATGGTTTGATAGATCGTTTTGATAATTTTATTAGTTTGGTGAACCTCCTATATCATCCTCTCTTTACTCTTCTTCTTCCATTATAATTAAAGTTTCATCAAAATTAGATCAATCATTTTTAGTGCAATCATTTTTATTTGAAAGAGGTGATCATAATGTATGTCTCTAAAATAAAATAAAAGTGCAAATAAAATGAGAGAAAAAAAAGAGAATGCAAATAAGATAATTTCAAAAACGAATTCGCATAATTTAATGTATTAGTATTATTTATGAACAAGATAAGGCTCTACATCAAAAGTCACTTTCTAGGATTTAAGCCAAAATTTAATTAGAAGGTTAAATAAAAACATGATAAAAAGAGATTTACTCGACCTTATAGATGATTATACTTCCTCCTCGGACTAGTTGGTCGACTCCTTATCTTTGACACACATCTAGACAACCTTATTGATTCAAAAACTTCCTCCATCTTATTGATGTTGAGTTGTGGAAGAGTCACCATATCAAAGCCGATTGATGACAACATCGACGGTGCATACCGATCGCTGTCTTCGATCACTATCGCCCCAAGGTGTTGACTATCATATCATCAAAGATATAGCCCAAGTTAAGATTCTTATCATCCACAAATGCCATATATAAAGGTTGTGGGGATGTATTACGATTATGAGGGATGTTAATTTCTCTAAAATAGAGATCTTACCCCTCAACACAAGTCAATCTCTTCTCTATTTTTAGTTTGTCCATAGTCCGATAGTCCTTTTTGGAAGACTTGTATCCCAAGCCAAAGTTTTCGTCAAGCATTGCCCTATTCATAAGTTTAAAATCATCGGATAGGTCATTATCCATGTCAAACGGTGGTAATTTAGCCTTTATCATGTATTTTGCTATCATCTTCATGATACCGGACAACTTAAGGCTCTTCATTCGTGAGTTCTTATGGATAAATTCAACATTAATTGCTTCAAAAGCATGCAATTTACCATCACCAACTCCTTATGTCTCAATGTACGTAATCGACACATTTTTTAGCCATGGCTAAAGCCTCCTCAACCTTCATAGTGATTAGCTTTTCGTCCGCAATGTACTTTAGTCTTTGGAGTAGTGAGGATGTGATAGGTCCTGCAGAATGAATCCATGACCTTCCTAATAACATATTATAGAAAGGTGAATGTCGATCACGTGTAGGGTAGTTTGGAACCGGTGTGTGCCCAAATCAATCTTTATGTCCCCAATAACATGACGAGGGGTGCCATAATAAGCTTACTTCATCATTTTGTTTGGCCTCATGTGCGAAGAATCAACTGGCGAGCGGTTTAGAACATACTTTGGTAGCGCATTAAGGACGAACCATTATCAATCAATACTTTTGCAATCATATGATCCTTGTACTTAATGGTGATATACAAGGTCTTGTTGTGATCGGTTCCTCTCGATCCCAATTCATCTTCGGTAATTAAGGCATATTAAAGAAAATTAAAATGAAGAACAAAAGGTAAGGGTTAATTTGAATTAGAGATTGTGTTGTAATTGGAATATATTGAAAATGACGTATCTTTCAAGCTTTGTAATTGATTTTCCACGACACTCGCTTATGTTGATCCTACGTGGCATTTAAAGTCCAGGTTATCATGCTTCGTCATCTCGCCATATTGGCGTTGCTCGAAATTTTGGTCGAAAAATTAGATTTGTGATAGTATTGTTGTCGAATGCATAGTTGGTGATCTTTGTATACAAAATTTAAAAAACAAGCTAAAATCATTAAAAAATATATAATTCATGATTTTTTAAAACATTAAACAATTTTTAAATGATAATTTCATATATGTGTGTCTCCCTTATCCCTTGCACATGACTTACATATTAGTTAATGATGACATAATTATAAGATAATTAGTTAAATTTTTAAATAATAAGATAAACTATTATGATACGATAAAATATAGTTTGTAATCTGAAGGTTGGCATATTCTCAAGAAACCCTAGATATTGACGCTAATATGTATACATATAAAAGAACAGAGTTAATGCGGTTAAATAAGGAGGTGAGAGGTGAGAGTGGAAAGATGAGGAAGGGCATCTGGGGGTGTGGCAGGAAGAGAGAGGAGCAGTGGGATATAGATGGACGTCTATTGTATTGTGTGCACGATGACAAAAAAGACCAGCTCTTGTAGGGTTATAACGACAGGGGTTTTTGCTTGGGCATTTCAAACCATCACTTTCTCTCTCACACGTATACACGCGAAGCCATTGCACGGAAGAGCTGGGGCTCAAAACTGATGAAAGGATAATGGATTGGAAAGCCTTCGTCCTAATGCACGATACTTGTTGGTGGTTTAGGTAGCAGCCCCTGACCCCCTCCTTGGACCCATCCCTAGATTCCTGCCCCTTCTCTATCACTCCATCGAATGCATGCAGTTCCCCTTTAGGCCTCAAGAGTCAAGATATATGCCCACCTGCGCCAGCTCATTTTCTCTATTCTCTCAATTACTAATTAACGGCTTTTTTTATCACGAAATTAATTAAGACAACTTAAAACTTCTTACATAGCAATGGATTTAATGGAAAAAATTTACCTTCAAACTATTGGTTGATAGCAATTTAAGGATCATACTACTACTTTAGATTATTTGGATTCAAAACTATTAATTTTTAGACAAATATTATCTTTTTTTAATTATATTTAACGATCAAAACTTTAATCTTTAATTGGAATATAATTTTAATGACAAAATTTACCTTCAAATTATTAGGGGTTGAGACAAAATAAATCTATACTATTCACTTAGGTTATTTGAATTTCAAATTATTAATTTCTGAAAAAAATTATCTTTTTTATTATTTCTATGTTAATCAAAGTATTGACTATTAATTAAGATGCTTAAAACGATGTCATTTTGAATTTGATATATTCATTGCACATAATTAATTATCTAACAACAAAAATAAGATTCATAAATGAAAAAAATCATCTAAACTACCTTAAAACTAATTATTATTAAATATTTGTTTTGAAATTAATTTTAATTCTTAAAAAAATTAATAATTCAATTTTTTTTTTACTTGATGGATCCATTACTCATTATTAATTATCTTACATCAAAAGTCAAATTCATAAACAACAAAATTATCTAAACTTTATTAAAACTAACTATTATTAAAAAAATTAATTTTAATTCTAAAAAAAAAAAAAACAGAATGGTCAGCAATTTTACTATTATAATTAATGAAAATATATAAAATTTATCTAAAAACTTATAATTTAGAGTCTAAATAGTCTAAATTGATAGTATAGGACTATTTTATCATAACTCCAATAGTTTAGAGGTAAATTTTATCATTAATTAAACTATATTTCAGTTAAGGATCAATATTTTGACTGTTAGAGATAACAAAAGAACAATAATATTTATTCAAAAATCAATAATTTAAAATCCAAATAGCTCAAATTGATGATATGCGTTTTAAATTGTCATCACCCGATAATTTAGAGGTAATTTTGTCATTAAACCTGTAACAATCCAAGGGAGCGAAACTCAAACTCTCCTACTCTCAGTCTCTTGCAATGAAATAAAATGGCAAATTGTATAATACTCCATTATAATTGTCTTAATTCTAGCTTCCTTTTCACAAAAATATCTTTTTGTGTTTCTAACAGCTTGGTTTCAAGAAGAATTTCGTTTCTTCTAGCTAGCAGTAATTACATTCACATTAAAAAGAAAATGAGAATCCCCTCTTCATATAAAGAGAACTAGAAGAATAAAATCATCATACATCTCTCTCTCTCTATTCCCCATCCTCACTCACCTTCTTCTCTTTCCGGCAAGTGATGATATACTATGAGCCGATCGAGAAGCTATCCCTCTAACCAAATTTTGCATAGCGCTGCAATAATAATAATAAAAAAAATTGTTTCAATTTGCAATTTCTTTTTTCTGCTGCAATAATATATCATCGGGCAAGTCTCTCTCAATCTCATTCTAGCTCCTAACTAGACTAAACTTTCTCCACTCTGAACGCATCTGCAGATATATATGTTTCTTTTTTAATTCCGGATTAACATGACATTATTCTGATTCCGACCACAGTTTTAAGATTGGTGGCACAAGTCTAGGTGATGACGTGCAATGGGATGGCTTTCTTCCCAGCAAATAATTTCATGCTCCAAAGCTCTCATGAAGATGATCATCAACCTCCCACTTCTCTGAATCCAATTCTACCCACTTGTGGACCCCGAGACTTTCATGGTACCCTCTCCATCTGACCTCTCTCTCTCTCTCTCTCTCTCTCTCTCTCTCACTGAGCTAACTTTGGCTATATATTTAGACCAGTGTTGATTTTTTTTTATTTTTTGTTGCAGGGGTGGCATCATTTCTAGGGAAGAGATCATCAATGTCATTTTCAGGGATTGATGTATGTCATGAAGAAGGTAATGGAGAGGATGAGTTGTCTGATGATGGCTCGCAAGCAGGAGAAAAGAAGAGGAGGCTCAATATGGAACAAGTCAAGACACTTGAAAAAAACTTTGAGTTGGGTAACAAGCTTGAACCTGAGAGAAAAATGCAACTGGCTAGAGCTCTTGGTCTTCAACCAAGACAGATTGCTATATGGTTCCAAAACAGGAGGGCCAGATGGAAAACAAAACAACTAGAGAAAGATTATGATCTCCTGAAGAGACAGTTTGATGCTATTAAAGCTGAAAATGATGCACTACAAGCTCAGAACCAGAAACTTCATGTGGAGGTAATTAATTACTAGAATTCGACACATGATCAGTTGGCTATATGTTCTTATTGTAATTTTTAGACATACAATATGTTTGAATTAAATTTTCTATTACCTCTTGATCTCTTCTCTCTTTATTACTATCGATTGTAACTTTCGGGATAGTAAGATTATTAATTAGCAGATTTTGCATGAAACTACAATTATTGTGTATAATAAGTTTCGAAATCCCAATCATTTTTATTCCTGGTTTATGCAGCTTTTTGACCTTTTCTTCTTACAATGATTTCTTTGAACTTTTCAATAAAGCTTCTTTTCTTATGATTGGTTCACCTTTTTAATTTTTAATAAACGTCAGTTTGAGCACCCACGAAATTTCTGAAAAAAAAAAAAAACTACAAAGAAACAAGAAACAATATTTCGAAGTACTGAATATTAATTGTTTGTGGTTTAGAGCTAAAGTCTAATTAATCATGCATGTCTGAAAAGTATTGATTTTTTCATTGTTTTCGTTTTGTTTTTTGAACTTTGGATATATATATGCATGCTTCTTGTTGATTGGTTAACTTCTACCCAGATATTGGCACTGAAAAGCAGAGAACCGACTGAATCCATCAACCTCAACAAAGAAACTGAGGGTTCTTGCAGTAATAGAAGTGAAAACAGCTCTGAAATCAAGTTGGATATCTCAAGGACGCCAGCTATTGATAGCGCTTTATCTAATCATCATCCAACAAGCAGACCTCTTTTTCCGTCATCATCTACGAGGCCTACAGGTGTTGCACAACTCTTCCAAACAAATTCTTCAAGGCCTGATATTCAATGCCAGAAGATTGATCCAATAGTCAAAGAAGAAAATCTTAGCAATATGTTCTGTAGCATGGACGATCAATCTGGATTTTGGCCCTGGCTCGAGCAACAACATTTCAATTAAGAAAATGAACCCAGAATGTATGTCAAATTGGAGAATACCCTTTATATATGCAGTATATATGGCAATGGTTAATTTTCGACTCTATATAAGAGGAAAATGATCTTAACTTTATGAGTTTAAAAGTAAGTCCATATATATTTTGGCACTTAGATTGGTATATAAAGTAGGATACCTTAAGTTGAAATTTCAGGTGGGGAAGCTGTTTAAGAGGAGCAATAAATTAAGGGATTTGTGTCTTTGAATTATATATATATTTTCCTTTGAGTAATAAGAAAGATGTATGCTTTGCTAGGTTGGATACTGCAATTGAAATTATATTTGCTTGTGACTCGCTGGAGTGCTAGCATGAGCCATGGAATAAAAAAGAGATCGCCTTCTCTTCCTCGCATATATTTCTATTTTTGCTTATCTTTTCTTCGTTTGAAATCGTGTGTGATTGTACAAAAGAGAGCGAGAGAAAAAAAGGTAATCCTTGAAAGTGCTTTTTTCAAAGTTCTTACAATAAGTTTCTCCAAAAAACCAGAAAGTCTTTATAATAAGATATTTCGCCCATTACATCAATCGCCATTGAACGCTAAACCAAAAATGAGCAACTGAAAATGAAAAAAATCTACTTCAATGTAATTATAGCCGTTGAAAGGAAAAATTATACTATTGGTGATGGGTCGTGGAAGCCTCGTTTAGTAAAATAAGGAGATGTGACTCATGTAGGTTGAAATAAAGGTTTAATGCTCAAGAAAATCACTCGACGGTTTCTTGCATTGAATACCTAAAAACAAGTCCTTCCGATTAGATGAAAGACCTTTTGATGATCAAATTAGTAGTTGAAATATAGTAAAATGGCCTAAGAAGGTTCTTTGGAGAAAATGCTTATTTGCGGGTAAATATTTTTTAATGAGAAAAAATTGTTCAAAAATTAAAACTTAGAACTCTTGATGATTTGAGCTTTTATATAGATAGTCATGAATGCAACTTGTATTATGGAAAGAGCATGATTGTCCTTTTTCCTTAGCATTGGTTGTTGAACCGATGGGTGATGGTGATATACTATCATTTCATCTAATCCGTGACAATGTTAGTACGATTATGAGAAGTGACGATTTAATTGTTATCATCATTGGAGAGCATCTTCATTAAATATTGTATCTCATATGGTGATAGTGGAGAAAAGTAGGGTCTTTTTTTCCTAAATCGAGCAGTACTTAGGATAAAAGAGTTTCTAAATTTTTTCAAAAAAGCCTACCTTGTAAGGGGTAACTCTCTCTTGGACTTTGGACCCATCCGATTAGTTATTGTCCTATACTATGACTTATTGGTCCAATTTAGGCTTGAAATATTTGGTGTCAAATGTGTTTATGGGATCTTTTTGTTGAAATTAACAAAAACAGCATGCGTCATCCGGTCTTCCATGCATTATCGGTACCTCTCCAAGTCCGAAAGAGTATGCTTAGCCTAGGCTTTTAGGTTGTTGGATTGGATGCTTCAAGTGATACTTTTCTTTACTATGAGAGATTATTGGTGTTGTTTCTTTGGTTTTGCTTGGCTCATGTTGGTCAACAATCTTAATTATCCTTTAAAATTCTAATGCTTTAAAATCAATGGTTTTGAGAAAGAAAAGGGAAATCATTTGCATGCGGGATGCTACTATTGTTGTGAAAAGTTGTATCTTTTATGTTTCACAAAAGAATAATGATTATCGTCACTAGGAACCTACACACCCAACTCACGCTCTATCATATCATCAAGTGTTGTCCTTTAGGTCAAGCGAGTCGTTATTGGGGGAGAATGCTCCTCTTTGCCTATATATAGGCCTTGTTAAATAAAGCTTTTCCTTACTTTTATGGGTTTTAAATTTCATGATATAAGATTTTTAGCGAGTCATTTAACATCTTTTATTTCTCAATTGGATGCCTCTCTAAGGCATTTTTTTCGGATATAAGTTGTGGGATGTAATATTTTATAATTACCCTTTTTTTTCATCAATATAGAGATGAATGGTTTAAAGAGAAAGAGTTAGCGGTGCATTTGAGACTCGTGCTCAATAGGGGTGTGAGAAAAGGTGCAAACTTTAGTGTAGGAGAGTCCATCCCTCCTCGAGAAAAGTCTAGATGTGTGTTTTCATTTATTATAAGAGCTTCGAGTTAATTATATGGTAAAATGCTAGTTTTTTATGGTCAACTACGAGGGAAATTTTTTTCTCCTAATTTTGGCCCATCCAAATGAGAGGATGAACATACCTCCTTCGGCATGGTAGACAAAAACTTGGACATTGTTTTTCCTATATACATATTAGAGTACGGGTTCATTTTTTTTCTAATTGGCTTTGTGACGAGGTATTTGATTATTTTTGCCGATTATTCCTAACTATTTTTTACCATTTTTGCTAAATTTTTAGGGTCATCTCAACTCTTATACTTTTCGAATATTCTCATTATTTCACTTACAAAGATGGCGAGGAAGGGAAGAAGCCTAGTATTTATACTTTTATGGCCCACTATTCTGATTTTTTTTTACCATTTTTGCCAAATTTTAGGGTCATTTCAACTCTTAGACTTTTCATATATTCTCACCGTTTCACTTACAAAGATGGTGAGGAAGGGAAGAAGCTTCGTATGTAACTTTTATGGCCTATTATTCGATTATTTTTTTTACCATTTTTGCCAAATTTTAGGGTCATTTCAACTCTTAGACTTTTCGGATATTCTCACTATTTCACTTACAAAGATGGTGAGGAAGGGAAAAAGCCTCGTATGTATACTTTTATGGCTCGCAAAGCAAGCTTATTGAAAGAGGTATTTGTGAGGGCCCCCGAACTAGTCGGCGATTAGAGGAAATAATATTTTATCACTAGGTATTGAGGGGTGTCTTCCTTTGTAGAGGTCTCTTCGGGATAATCTTGACACCTTCACTCTTTAAATAGATTCTAAACTTGTCTTTAAAGACTTGGTGAAGAGCAAAGGGAGGAAATATGGTGTTAACTAGTTTCCTTAAAAGTGATCCTTGATCTACAACTTGTTTGGTAGATAATTAGATTTTAGTTTAATCATGTGCATATCCGTGTCATTATTTCTTGTTACTAACAACTTTTTTTATTTTTTTGTGAATCCATTGTCTAAGAAAGACAATGATCATGGTTGCTTTGTCATAAAACTCTATATGCCTTTTGTAAAGAAGGATGTTATTGAGGATGGGACTTTATCCTCTCTTATAATCCTTGCTCTTAAGATAGGGCCTATTATTAATTTGAAGCAACCTCTTGAAGACTTGAACAAGTGGTGGACTAAGAGGTGTAAAATGGCTCCGAATGCTACAAAGATAAGAAGAACTTTTATGAGTCCATTAGAGAAAAAAGTTGATCCTTTACTTGTAGAGAGGCAAAGTACTCCTCCTTCTACCACTAAGAGAGTTATGCCTTCGAGTGGTCATATTAGATGTTTAGGCCACGTCTAGGCTGCATAGGGCCTCAACAAGGGTGGTGGTTGTTTCTACTTCTTTCCCACGATTGGGGGAAAAATCGATGGGGTCCTTTCATGTAATAGCTTCCTTTTTCTACCTAACATCCGGGAAAGGTAGTCATTAGAGCTTCTATCCCTAGGCTAAGCCACGTCTTAAGGGGTATCCCTCTACTCTTGCTCTTTATGGAGCAATAACAAAAGTTGTTCAACAACAACACTTTCGAGGGTATAGAAAGAGAGTGGGTTATCTCGTTTTCTTAAAGAGATCTTTTTACTTTCGACAAACATGAAACCTCGGGATGGTAGTTCTTTGGTTTGGGAGATAAAGAAGGTTATGTAGTTGAGGTTTTCCCTCTCTCTCTCTCTCTCTCTCTCTCTCTCTCTCTCTCACACACACACACACACACACACACAAATATATATATTCTCATTATTTTTATGGTTTTGTCTTTTAGAGTGGTGTTCACTTGTTATTTTTCTGCAGTCTCGCCAAATGAAAGCTCATAGTTTTCTTAAGTAGAGGATCGTAGAGAAAGAAATATATGAGACTATGGGATTCTTCTAGGAGTTTTGTACAATCTTATTGGAGAAGGATATCAAATCCAATCTCTCTAAAAGGAAATAAAAAAGACACTAAAAGACATGAAGAAGGCTTCGGTACATACCTTTATTAAAAGAGAGGCGAGTTGTGGCTTAGGAGTTAAAAAGTGGCTCATTTAGAGTCCTACTATGTCCGGGATAGATCAAGCCTCTTATTCTTCCCCTATATACGAACCCCCAAGTGGCATAAGTGGTTTTTTTTTGCTTCAAAAAGCAATGCCTTAATAGTATATAGGCTTTTACCGCCATCATAAGCTAGCTTTTTCTCTATAGTAGAGGAATGTGTGATCTTCATTTCCTAGGCCGGAATGCTTTAGGATAGCAAAGTTTTTAAGTTTCTTTCGGATACGACTCATTTTATAGAGAGTAACCGTCTTGTAGAGACTTTTGATCTCGCTTGATTAGTTATTGCCATAAACTATGACTCATGGGCTCGAATTAAGCTTGATAGATTTAGTGTTATGTCCGTTTGTAAGCTTTATATATCGTAGTGAACAAAGATGACACGCGTCATCTAGATCTACCACTATCTACTAACATTTTATTATTATTTTATTTTTTTTATTGACAAAAGATGAAAACTAACGAAGGCAACTATGATCTATCACTAAAATAATATATAGAAGTGAATTGTTAATCACATGGTTCGTTCCATTATAGAAAATATATTGATTGACTTGAGAGATATACATATAATAGAGTATTCATTTTATTAAGGAGTTTTTTTGTTCTTTGTATTTTTTTATTGAATTCTTTAATTTTTATTTTTTTATTATAATATCATTAGTTTGTGAACCGACATGGTATGCTACACTCATTAATATGTAACACATGTCATAGATGAAACTTCAATTAAAAAAAAAAACTTAATCAAAACAATTCAAAGAGTACAAAGAAAAAATTATTGTTTTGTTGTTTTACTTTTCCTGTCGTTATTTTTAAAAAAACCTCATCTTAAATGCATGAAATGTGTTATATGTGAGATCCCATCATAGCAAAATTGTAAATTATTTTTTTAATTATTATAATAAGTTGAGAGTATAAAATAATACACAAAAGAAAGAGAAAAATGAACTTAACATGCAATTATTAAAATAAAAATATGACAATATACAATATCAATCAACCACGAATCTCTAATTAATTGGTTTAATTCTCTATAAAAAGTTAAAAAAAAATCCAAATATTTGACTAATTGAAGGTGAAAATGGGGTTGCTCCCTTAAAAAAAAAAAAAAAACTACGGACTACGTCTCTCTCTCTCTCTTTTTCTTTGATGCGGATAATTGGTTACTAGTCGGCATTATTGTTATTTTTATCTTGAAAAACATATTTATCCTCTCTCTCTTTTTAATTGCATGTCGGGTTTGTTTTATATGTGTTTTATTAGTTTTTTTCAATTATTATAATATTTAAAAAAATATTTCATAATTTTATTGTTATGGGGTTTCACAAATAACATGTTTCGAGACATTCAAACTGAGATTTTAAAAAAATAATAACATAAAAAATTTTTAAGAAATAATTTGGTCTTTACACTTTTAGATTATTTTGATGAAAGTCTCGTATTGTTTAAATTGTTTGACTGATTCTCTTTATATAGATTTTACATTAGACACGTGTTATGTATTAAGAAGTGTAACATGTTATATCATCTCATAAATTGAAAACACAAAACACAATATATATATATATATATATATATATATATATAATCCGCATGTAAAAATCAAGCATAGCATAGTACAAGTAGACTATTTTTTGTTATAATGGAGAAAGGGTAAGCAAATAAAATAAAAAACTTAATCAATACAATAAAGAAAATAGAGTCTCAATCAAAATAATTTAAATGATACAAAAACATATATGAACAAAAATCATATTTCATATAGTAGAGTATTCGTTTTATTAAGTGCATGGACTATTTCATATTTTGGTCTAAATACTAGGAATAAAATAAAGTTCCAAAGTTTCTTTTAGATACGACTCGCTTTGTAAAGAGCAACTATCTTTTGGAGACTTTTAATTTATTTGATTAGTTATTACCATATACGCTGACTTATGGGCTTAAGTTGAGCTTGATAGATTTAGTGTTATGTATGTTTGTAGGATTTGTTTGTTGTAGTGAACAAAGATGACACATGTCATCTAGATCAACCACTATCAATTAACATTTTATTTTTATTTATTTATATTGACAAAAGGTGAAAAATAACAATGTAACTATGATCTATCACCGAAATAATATATAAAGAGCGAATTGTTAATCGCATGGTTCATTCCATTATAGAAAATATATTGATTGACTTGAGAGATATACATATAATAAAGTATTGGTTTTATTAAGGGTTTTGTCATTCTTGTATTTTTTTTAATTGTTTTAATTAAAGTCTTGTATTTTTTTTATTGAACTCTTTAATTTTTATTTTATTTTATTTTATTAATTTTTTTTTATCATAATATCATTAGTTTGTGAGCTAACATGGTACGCTATACTCCCGAGTATGTAACACATGTCATAGGTGAGATTCCAATATATATATATATATATATATATATATATATATATATATATATATATATATATATATATATATATATATATAAACTTAATAAAAACAATTTAAATAGTACAAAGAAAAAATTATTGTTTTGTTGTTTTACTATTCATGTTATTTTTAAAAAAAAAAAAAAACTCACTCAACCTAAATGAATGAAATGTGTTATATGCGAGATCTCATCATAGTAAAACTATAAATTGATTTTTTAAATTATTATAATAAATTGAAAGTAACAAAATAATACATAAAAGAAAGAGAAAAACGAACTTAACATTCGATTATTAAAATAAAACATATGACAATATACAATATCAATCGACCACGAATCTCTAATTAATTAGTCTAATTCTCCATAAAAAGTAAAACAAAATCCAAATATTTGACTAATTCAAGGTGAAAATTGGGTTGCTTCCTATATATATAGACTATATCTCTTTTCTTTTTTCTTTTTTTTGATACAAATAATTGGTTACTAGTCAACATTACGATTATTTTTATTTTTATTTTAACAAACATATTTATCCTCTATTTTTTGTTTGTTTTAATTACATGTTTGGTTTGTTTTATATGTGTTTTATTAGTTTTTTCAATTATTACGGTATTTAAAAAAAATACTTCATAATTTTATTGTTATGGGTTTCACAAATGACATGTTTCGGACATTCAAAATGAGATTTTTTAAAAAATAATAATATAAAATTTAAAAAGAAAAAAATTATAATTTGGTCCTTATACTTTCCGAATTATTTTGATGAAAGTCTTATATTGTTTAAATTGTTTTGATTGATTCTCTCTATAGGGATTTTACCTATGACACGTATTATGTATCAAGAAGTGTAACGTATTATATCATCTCATAAATTGAAAACACAGAACACATTTTCACCCATTCCAAAGAGAACACACACACACACACATATATATCAAGCATAGCGTTGTCCAAGTCGACTATTTTCCGTTATAATGAAGAAATAGTAACCAAATAAAATATAAAAAATTAATTAATATAAAAAAGAAAATAGAATTTCAATCAAAACAATTTAAATGATACAAAAACATATATGAACAAAACTCATATTTCATATCGTAGAGTATTTGTTTTATTAAGTGCAAGGACTATTTGATATTCTGGTATAAATATTAGGAATAAAATGGAAGTACATGTAAAACAAAATAGACTAAAAGATGAAATTTAAAATAAGCATCAACAATCCAAGGCTTTTTTTTTTTTTTCAAATCATATCCAACTATCCAAGTTTATAATGTTACAAGATCTATATGATCCGAATGTTACTTTATCAAGGTCCGTTTAATTAATTTGTTTTAGGTTTTCCATTTGTTACATGCATAACAAGTAGAAATACATTTCTAATATTCTTCACTGCCAAATGGGAAAAAAGTTGGTGTAAACTCAAGGCCTATCCGCTATGATAATGCCATCAGTGAAGGTGCTGGAAGGAAAGACTACAACATTAGAGGATGAAGATCGTGCTCAAGGATTAACTCAACATATAATTGGGAAAAGTAAAGTTGCACCTAGAGGAACCATGCCATTAACCCACAATGAGAGTAGCAAGCACACATACCAAGAGAGGAAGAGGACAAATGGATGGAAGAAAACAAAGAGAGTCGAGAATGGTCATTCTCGTGAAGGGATAGGTTGGCAATTTTGTGCTGACATAGAATGGAATGGTATTCGAGAAGTTAATGTACCTCCCACAGGCACCTTTTTAGCAGTGGCCATTGTAGGTTAGTAACACATGCAAACTCTTTATAGGTCTTTATTGAAGCATTCATGTGACTGATCACTGCCACCCGCTCCATGGCATCCAACACGGTCGCTCCTCTTTTGTGCCCAAACTTCTATGCATCTCCTTTTCACAATCTCACTTTCTGATTCTTTATTCCACTTTAATCTCCTTTTCCAAATCCTGTGCTCCTTATTCGTAATAACATTGTCTCCCGTCTCTTTCACGTTAATAAACTATTGTACTATTTAGATTTTTTTTTTTTTTTTCCACAAGAGCTCACATTTTCTCCTCAAAATTTTCAATTTTATCCGATCTCCTTTCTAGCTAGCAGCTCCATATCTGATATTTATTCTTCTTCTTCTTTTTTGATCTTACCATATTTAATATTTCTCTAAACCCATTTAGAGACGTTATTATTATTCTTATTGGCATATGAGGTTGCGATAAAGGAGAGAAGGGGAAGGATAAATACATAATAAAAGACCTAATCATACGAATTCTGTGATGTAGGGACTATGTTGAACTTTGTTAATAAATAAAGGTAATTAAATGCATCTTGATCTTCCGAAATTGCACATACAGCCTCCCGTCACTGGGCGTTCTCCGGCCTTTCTTCTCCAGTACTACATGACATCAAACTTATGCCAGACCATTTCCAAAACACCCATCATTTCAGCTACTAGCCCTTTCTCTAAACAAAAATAACCATGCTAAAGTTCAACTTTGGATTCGATTTTTAAGTATCTAATCTGAAACTTCAAATATTTTAAACAAGAAAGTAATTATTTTGCTGACCAACTCTATTAAGTCATATAACTAGGCCAATAAATGAAAAATACATGGACAATCAATCAAAACTCTTACATAGATCATTATAGTTTTCTATTTTTCATGTCTGCTGTTCTAGTTTATAAATGAAGTGGTAGATTTAGTATATGTAACAATTTCTTCTAGATGTGTTTTTGAAGAGTATGTTAGAGAAAATAAGCACCATTTTATGTCTTTATAGTTGTGGGCTAGGGATTTTTTTTTCTTTTTGAATTTTTTTGTTTGAAGCTTTTGCTAGATTACTTGCTATTGGAATTATTAAGTAAATAAAAATGGGCTTGTCTCTTTGGTTTGGGTTGGGGGTGTTTGGGACTAGAAATTTATAAGAGGTACCAGGTATGAAAGTTGGACTTGACCTCATGAGATATCTGGCCTTTGGGAATTCCTACAACCCAAGCTGTAGTTGCACCCTTGGGCCTATCGTCCCTGGTTCGATGGATATCTAATTTATTAGTTCGAAAACAGTATGTAATTTTTTCTGGGTTGATAGTTGGAGAGATCTTTCTATTTTTTCTTTTTTCTTTTTATCGTGTCTTTTATTTTTTTTTAAATCATGCATCTATATTTAGCTTCTGTTTTAATGGTGTTTCTTTGTTAAAATTTTTAAAATTTGCTTACTATCATGGAGATAAATTTAAACTCATAGATGATATTTTGGATTAAAAAATATATTTTTATCTTTATCTTTTTAAAAAAAATTTTTAGAGAGAATGACTTAATATATATTTACCTTTTTTCTAGTTTTTTTTTCAAGGTTCATTTATTTAAATTTGATAAATGAAAAAACAAGATTAAGTTGAAAAAGATAGAGTAGAGAGAGATGAGAACAAGATAGAAAAAAAAAATTGATTCTGCTAGTTCAAAAATTAATGAATAGATGAGATTAGGACAAAAACTAAACATAAAAAGATAAATTTAAAATGAAAAAAAATAAAAAATAGAGGAATACAGTAAAGACAAAAAGAAGAGTAAAAGAACCTCTGTAACCATTAAGTTTTTTTTTTTTTTTTGGCAAATGTTGTTCTTCCACTTGATTTTACTACTATCATTGATAATTTTGTAAAAAAAAAAAAAGTTAATTTTTGATATTTTGAATTGATTTTGTTTTATAAATATAAGAAAAATATTTTTTAAACAGTTAGAGATTATTATTTTCATTTTTAAATAATAAAAATTTGATAAATTATGAAAACCAGAAAATAAGTTGGAATAATCTCAAAAAAATAAAATAAAATAAAAATAAAAATAGAAACTCTAAGAAGTTCATATGAAATTACATATATAATTTTAATATATTTCTCAAAATATTTGAATATGTAGTTTCTAAAACAACTTATTTTAAGTTTTAAACGTATTATATATTCGATCATGTAAATATTTTTAAAATCATATTACACCTAAGCAGATAAATGTATATGTTTTCTTTTAGGATCCTTTAAAAATTCGTATCATTCCAAATTATTTTTTAATTTTTATGATATTGTAAACATCAATCTAATATTAAAAAAATACTAAAAAATATTTTTAAAAAATTAAAAATTAATTGAATTTTTATTAACATATGTGAAAATTTTCAGCTAAAAATATCACAAATTGAATTTTGTTTAATAGCTTTGATAATGATAACTGTAAAATTATATAGAATGATATTGTTTATCCTACACATTAATAGTTTAAGAATAAAATATTAATAGCATAGATCTTAATGTATCATTAGCTCTAATTATTCAGGGGTGAAATTGCATTAAACCGTTCAAAAACTGAAGAAGCATTAATGTTAGCTAGTTAGTAAAAAGGGACCAGTTCACAGCATAATGGAAAAAGGCAACCATCGTTAACATACCACGTGGAGGTTAGCTAGCTTAAGATTAGCACCTCCGTGGCTCTCACCTCATTACCCAGGAACGCTGAAACACACACTTTCTTCGTCCACCACCCATTTTATGTTTATTTTTTTCTCCGTCTTTCCAAACGGATAATCCAGTCAGTCCTGATGGCATCTGCTCACATCCTCTCACCCTCAACCACCGCCGCTGCCAACAGTTCGACCTCCCACCTTACCCGCCAACTTTTTCATCTCCCCTGCAAGCTCCCATTCCATACCTTCCCCACCAAAAATCACAGACTAATCACCAAGCTTAACGTGTCCTCCCCAACTAACAAACCTGCCACCTCCACCATTTCCAAAAAACCCATCGAAGAAACCATCTTTTTTGACGGTGGAGCCCACTACGGTGACCTCGTAGCCAACTTGCTACTGGGCTTCACTCTTCTTTGGCTGCCATTGACTCTAGCTGCAGTTTCAAGGGCATTTTATCTTAGATACAGGTTCACCAACCTGCGGGTTACAGTTATTTCAGGGCTGACAGGTCAAGATAGGAGTGATTTCTCCTACAAGGTGATAAAAGATGTTCAGGTCGTGCCACGCTTTATAGGTGAATGGGGTGATATCGTTATTACTTTGAAAGACGGCACTAAAGTGGATCTTAGGAGCGTTCCTAAATTTAGAGAAATTGCCAAGTATTGTCTCTCTATGGCTGAGAAGCCTGTGGTTTTGAAGGAGGTTACTGAACCTAAAGGGTTTTAAGGTTTTTACTTTTATTTCTTTGTTTTGGAAGGTATGTAAATTTTTTCTCATCTGTTCCCTTTGTTTTTCTACCCTTATTTTGTTTAATTATGTACTCATACTATATATCTTCTTTTCTTGGCTCATTATATTCTCGATGAAATAAACTATTAAACATGATTACTGTTAAACGTGTGGCATTTAAATAGTTGACACGTGTTAAAAGATTTTTTTTTACAGCTAAAGAATAAAATATTAAAAAAAAAACCTAAATAATTTAACAAACACACAGGTTAAATAATTTAGAAACCTAGGTACGGCGACCACCATTTAAACGCCGGTGAGGTTCCTTAAAGTACGATGATACAACTTAATTAAAGATGGGGAGGATGAGTCAGCTCATGATGCCACGTGGATGACACATGGACTGAAGAGAGGGAATTAGGTACCATGTGTATTAGCTACTAAAAGAAGCTGAGGTGGATTTTGTTAGTGGTTTGTTGAGAGTTGTTGTTAGTCTTTAACATCTACAGCATTAATTGTGAGAGGAGGGAAGTGAGAAGATCATTCTGGATATTTTGAACATTCTTCTTCTTATTTGGATTTTCTTCTTGTAATTTCTAGGGTCCTTAACTTGGGAACTTTTATCAAGATTTATTTTTGTAATCGTTTTCCATTAATTCAAACGCATTCCTTTTCATTCAAGTTGATGTTCTTGTGTTTACTTCATAAATTCGATTTCATAACTTGCATTCTCTTGTTTTCTGTTTGGATCTTTTGTATTTCATCTAAATCTTGCTGGTTGGAATTGAATTGCATCATACGACGACCCACGACAACTAACCCGACCATTCCAGCAAGATCCCGACATGGGTGAGCCTCATGCTCCACCAATTTCGAGATTAAATCTCTATGTGCGTCCAGATCTAATTAGATCCGACAGCTCGGGGACCTTTTCCGGTGTCCGCAGCTCCGGTTTGGTCCTCTAAAACTGTCAACGATCATCTCACACCATACCCGACCTTCTCTGGCCCTTCTCAGCTCAGATTTAGCCATATTCCACCGGTCACAGCAGCCACCAACTTTAAGCATGTTAGGTCTCCTTTCCATGAAAGAGTTTCAGTTCAGTCCTCTTTATCCTCAATGTCGTTAATTAATCCCTTTAACCTCATTTTTACCTTCCATAATTGATTGATTAAATATTAATGTGATAAGTTTTTATTATGGAGGTTGGTATTATTGTGAGACTGAGGTGTTTGGGGAGTTGATTTGTTGATGATTAATTGTGAAAGGACTAGATTGATAGATTTTTTTTTTAATTTTGGAATTGTGTTGGGTTGTCGAATTGTGCTTGCCTTTTAATTTGTTTTTTCTTGTTTTATTAGATATACTTATAAAAAAAAAAAAAAATCTGATTTGGTATTTTAGAGTTTCTAAATTATTTAACCCGCATGTTATTTTATTTTATTCTTTTTCTAAATTTCATCTAAAATCGAACTGCAGTTCTTCTTTCGAACCTAGCTAGGGGGTCGGATTCCGCTCTTGCAATTTCGTAACTCTTATCGACGATAGCAGCTAACTGAAATTTTGAAATAAGAGAAGATATCTAAGAGGGGGTTCTACCTTGTATTGGTTGATTGGGTCGATGAGAGCTTTTCGAGAGATTCTCACCAAAATTCAAAAAGAAAGAATTCCTTGTTTCTAGGATGTAGAAATCGAATCTGCTTTTCAATTTTTTTTTTTTTTTGACCGAGAGGACACGCATAATGGACGCGAAAAAAAAAAAAAAAAAAAAAAAGGAGAAAGATAAAACATAATCTTTTTTTCTTTTATGTACTCTTAATATTCTGTATTTATATTAATATATTTTATATTGTATAATTTTTACTCATCTAAAAATCCGAAAAGGTTAAATCTCAAGGCACTTAGATAAGTACTGGTTATACAATCGTTATATATATATAGGGTTAACGATTCGTATGATGTAATGAGAGTAGTAGTTTTATTTCGATAATTAATGTAAATCGAATATATATATATTAGCATAAAAAATTTTATTTGAATAATTAGGAGGTTCTTTAAAACATTATTTAAATTATTTTATTTTAAAAAAACAAATTTTAGAACATGAAAAAATAAATAACAAATAATTGGTATTATGTGTGCGGATATGTAGTTAATTTATAACAAAACTAAGGATATATATATATATATATATCATACTTAACAGATTCATAGTATTTGGAATAAATTAAAAAATATTAAAAAAAAACCCACCTAAATTATATGAAATATATTGAAGTTAATAGATTAAAATAAAAACTAATATAAAATTGGTTCGATAAATTCTGAAAAAAGCATATATAAAAAAGAAAATAAAACTTGGGAAATCTTTTTTTTAACTGATTATTATTTTTTTAAAAAAAATTGAGTCGAATTATCTAAAATATAATTTCAGCTCTCTCTCTCTCTCTCTCTCTCTCTATATATATATATATATATAATCGGAATTTATAAATTATAATATTTTAAAAAATAAAACGCTCATGTTCTAAAATTTTATTCCAAAATTCATATATTAAAAAACTAAATTTATTAACAAATAAAATTATATCAAAAAATTAAAAAAATTAATTTGATGAAAATTTTAATAAGAAACAAATAATTGAAGAAATAAATTTTAAAAAATAAAAGTAATATAATCAGATATATATTTTTAAAGTAAAATCTTAAAAAATATCATATAATATCACCATCAATCTATACATAAAAATAAAAAAAATGATATATTTTTTATTTTTTTCGCACCTAATTCCGTGATAAAAAAATATAAAAATAAATTATAGGAACTAAAAAAAAAAAAGAGGCTAGGCTCGCATGCTGGGGTTGCTTATGCACAAGCGGCGAGGTAGTTCAGCTCGATTGGGCCTGGTTGGCTTATGCGGCCAGGACAGACCAACGCACTTGGGCCTATAATTGCAGGCCTACGTGCCAGGCCAGGCTTACTTCTCCAAGACTGGGATGCTGATCAGTTAAAAAAAAAAAACCTGCAACTTTCGGTGAATTCAAGCTCACCAGAATCTTCATAAAAAAAATCACATGTTAGGTTTTAGACCTCATGAAACTCAATTTCATCATTTTTTTTCTCTCAAATATCTCTAAATGATCTAAATAAAGTCAAAAAACACTTTTAAAAGCTTAAAAATCATTTTAATGCACATTAAAACAAAAGGAAATGCATAATTAAATAAAAAAAATTTCTTCTTTTTTGGCTCTAACCTACCTTCTCCAATTATTTGATGGCTTGAAACCACCACGGAAAAACTCATCTCATAAATAAAAATATATAATGGAGTTTGGCTGGTCAAAGTGGCCAAAATAAGCTTGGCCAGTGCTCTCTCTACTCTCATTTCTCTCTTCTTTCCTCCCTCCTCTCTACACCGGGGATCAAAATGTATTAGTAAATGAAAGTATGGATCGAAATAAAACTTTCAAAAATACTAGGGATCTAAATTTAAAAAATTGTAATCTACGAGTAAATGAACGGTGATCGTTGTTTAACCACCACAGTTTTCTTAGTTTTCTTTAATATAATTTTATATTTTAATAAATATAATTTATTTTCTTATGTATAGATTTTCAAATAATTTTTTTAATAAATAATCAATTAAAAATAAAATTCATGTGTTTTATTTGTTTATTTTTTATATAATTAAAATATATTAAAACCAAATTTATAATTGTTTTTATTGTAGTCTACCAACTTCAACATATTCCTTACAACTTAATTTTTTAAAATATTTTTTTGATGTATACTGCACATTTTGACCCACTAAGTATGGTCATAATATATATATATATATAAAGAGATCATTTACTTGATTAAAAATTAATTATGCATCCACACATAACACTAACTATTTAATATTAATTTTCTTAATATTATAAAAATAATTTAATAATTTTTAATCAAATATTTGTATTTCATTTATTTTCTTATTTTTTTCATAAATTTTATAGTTAAAAACCACTACTTGTTTTTTTATGCACTCATTCTTTAATAAAAACCTATAATAATTTAATTATAAAATTTTAAAAATGTCTCATTTTTTTTTTCAAAAGATGGCATAAAAAAATAACGTAACAATAACTCGATTAGAAATGAAAAATGAAAAAAAAAACAGATATCGTAGAAATATTGATGAAGAAAACGTTAGTATCACTTATGAAAAAATTAAGCAAGCATTAAATGCTCTGTAAAATGTATGAGTTTAGTTACAAAAAAGGACAACAAATCATGAAAAGAGAGGAAATAAACGAAGGACGGAAAAGTAACCTCACTTACCCATTAATGGCATAAAAGAAATTACACACAAAATTGAAGGGTGGAAAAATACAACTTGGAGAGATAAAAGCATACAATTACGAAAAAAGACAAAATAACTTAGAAAGGAAAGAAAGAGTGGGGGCAAAAAAGAAAGATCACATATATTGCAAGAGAAATGTATGAAAATTGTTGACAATATATAGCAGTAAGGTGGCTAAATCCAGCAATGGAGAGCAAGACAAGTCAGCTGCAAGAAGGCAAGAATGGTTGAGATGAAACAAAACATAAGAGAATTGTATCAATGAGTCACGGTCCACAGTAAATATAAGTCTACATGAACAAGAAATGAACAGTAAACATATCAGATCTTTTAGTTTTTCTAGTAACGTATCATGATTTATATTATTAATATATATGTCAATCTATATCATTTATATCAATTAATTTAATTGAATTATAGAATTGATACTTTTGGACAAATTAAGATTTTTTTTTTAATCAATCATATGTGGATCCAATCACGATCTTATAATAAGAATAAGAACAAGGGATTTTTTTCGCTTAATTCCTTTGTCCTTTATTCTTCCGACAATCAGAAATATTTTTTTCAAGTTTGACTTTTCTCATTTGGAATTGGGGCTCTTCTTTATTTTATTTACTTATTTATTTATTATTTATTTCAAACAAGAGATCT